ACATATCAGTGATCAAGAAAGTAATTAGCCTTGATATTTCAAGGAGGAAGCTCTTTACAAACCACATGAAGAAACACACTGACCTATCACTCCTTAAATTACCTTTTAAATGGATTTTTCTTCAATATGGACGCAGCACAGGAAATAGATCTGGTCACTGCAATCATAAATAGACCCTAAAAAGATTCATTCCCAAACACCTAATGCATTTCCTCTAAGTGATCTAAACTCTGGTTTTGGTGTGCATCTTCTTCTATGGAAACCAGGTGAATAAAGTCCTCTGTCCATCTGGTGCAAATTCATCTTGAAAACAGTTTCTCTTGCACATTTTTTTGGTGTGCCTGATTTTTCTCATAGTTCTTAACAGCTGGCACACAAAACCAAAAGCACACGACTGGGAAAATATTTTCCAAAAAAAAGAGCCGCTATACCAGACAGGCTACAAGGGTGAGAACAAGTCCACACCCCACATGGCTCATAAGGTGCAGAGTTTCCACCCAGAGGACTAACAAAACAGAAGTTTCTTTTCAAACAAATGCACCTTAGGGGAAAGTTATTCAATTCTTAGTTACACAGCCTGCAGCTATAATACTCCAACAGCATGCCTCTGACTAGGTGGTAGAAAGTTTGCTTGTTTCCTCTCTGTCTCTCCTTCTGATACAGGTTCCTCAAAAGAAGCAGTCATTTGAAATCCAACAGAAAGTGTGGGGAATTCCATTCAATTTCAATATCCTTGTCTGCATCAAAGAAAACTTCCTTTTTATTAAACTCTTCAGTGAGTGCATCAAAAATCATGCTTAGCCAGGATTTTTTTCCTCTTTTAATGCATAAGGAAAGGGAGAAATAGTATTTGACCTACAAAGCAAAAGTCTAAAAAATATTACTGGGAGATGGTTACCACTAAGATCTTTAGTGAGGAATGATGTATAAATGAGTCTGAGACTACCACAAGGCTGAAGAAGAGCAGCAGATTGTTCTTAAAGGAAAAGTCTGGTCATATTCAGAATTCAAACTTCTGAAAGTAATTTAAATGTGAAATTATTAGATGCTGTTCAAGAAATGATGATGTATTTAATTGAGATTCATTTTCATTTGAATATGCTTTACTGGAGGCATCCATGTTTGTCAAAGAACACTACTGCCACCTACAGGTTTGTGACGTCACAGTGCAGTATCGGCTGTTGAGCAAGTCCCAGTGCTGTATCTGGTGTTTGTCACAACGCACTATTATCCAAGTCATCATGAAAACATTTTTCTTTGAAATGTTGGCTACATATTACGTTTTTTTTCTCTGACTAGAATTTCGATGGCAAGTCCTCCCTCTTCAAGTTGGCAATCAAATGACGAACCCGTGGTGGATCATGAAACAGAAAGGTGAAATACCTAATTTTCTTTTAACTTTACCAGATGTATTACAGCACCCAACTGCCGTGCACGTGGACATTGTCAGCTTAACTATAGCTCTTGCGAATTTCAGCCGTGATGTCCTCTCAAAATCTTAAATAATTGTTGTTGATTGCAGATGTGTCTAGTAGTTCCCATTGATTTTGATTGTAAAGTGGGGAGAATGGCGCTCGGTCACTGTCGGAATATGTCAAGAGTAAGTTGTTACTAAAATTGGGCAAAAATGTTACCTTATTGTATTTCTTATACTAAATCCGTTGGTTGTGCTGTTCTTTTTGCATTGCTTTGCAGATGATGAAGCAGACAGAAGATGTTTTATCGTTATCTTCCTTTTATCTCCTCTTTGTTTAATCTTTCTCCTTTTTTCTGTTCTTCCTTTCCTGTTCTACTTTCATTGCAGTGTCCATATAATCTGTAATACTCCCTGCATGAATTATAATAAAGCTATTTATATTCACGAATCAAGCAGAACACTATGGCGATAGCCGTACTGCTCCCCTTGTGAAAGTAAAATCTGTTGAGCTCTTTTTGGCATCAAGACAATTATTTCTATTGCCACATTGCCAGACAGGACACTGTAAAAAAAAAAAAAAAAGGCTGCTCTAGGACTCAATGATCAGGACGAAAATTATTTTTTACTATTTTTACTGATTACGCTATATTCATTTAATCACCGTGTACGTATTAGTTTTAGGTATAAATAATGATCTATCATCATTCCTTTCCTTTATTTCTGTGTGTCTCTGAGTGGCCAAGTCTGCCTAATAAAATCTGATGAATTACTGATGAAGCATCTTGTACTTGCACCTATGATACACATTATATCCCTGCTAAACACCTAGAAGCCTAAAACTAACCAATGAGAGTGATGAGGCCTGCATTGCGTAGAGCTAGTTATTAGATTTATATAATATTGTCTCCAAAGAGTTAATTTTATGAAGCTGCGGTAAATCAACAACAACCAATGTGTTACAGCATCTCATACCAAATCAGACAACAAATGCTAATATTTTCTCACAAGAACTCCAGTCGTGCTAAAATATATTTTGATTTGAAGAAAAAACATAATAAGAGGAATTGTTGTATCAAACTGAGAACTGAGTATCTCTATTTGTTGGGATCTGGAGATCTACCACCTGTCTCCAGCAGAGAGCGCCGTGGGTCTCCTGGGCTGGAGCCCCCAGCACACCTGAGGATCATCAGCCCATCAGGAGACCTTCTACATAAGCAGCAGTCAGACCTTCCTTCAACGCCACAATGTTGACCAAGTTTGGTTAGCGAACCTGAGCCTCTGATTATCCTAAGTGAATCTTAGTTGACTCTAGAAGAGAAACTAGATTCTAACCTGCCTCTGTCTTCTTTGCTCACAGAAAACCAGACTGAAGTCTGAAGCTCTGGATGAGCCTTGCCTGGAAACCTGCCTGCCTGCCCAAGGAAGCCAAACCTGAAGATATCAGTCTGGACTCCTCCACCAGCTCTCAAGGAAGAGCTAGGAAACCAAACCAAGGTCTGAAACTCACAAGCCAGAAGCTAGACGCTGCTGCTGCTGAGCTCTCTGCTAAATCAACAGTCTCTGGACCCAACCGGTTCCCCGTCTCAAAGGGATCAGCCAGAACCTCATCAAGGTACATTCTGAATAGACACGCTAGACAAACCATCAGAGCTGCCTGGCTAATCAAACTATCCATCTCTGCAGATATCAGTGATTCCAGTCCCGGACCTGTACCAGAACCAGTTCATATTACTCTGTGTGTGTTCCTTCAAATAAACTCTGTTAAACTTTTACCCAGCTTCGTGTGGTGTTCTGCATGTGGGTTAAGTCTCTTAAGCCAATCATGACACTAATTACCTAATCTTATCTGCCTCGCATTGGAATTTTAGACAAAATAGATAGTCGGAAGGACATCCTAGGCTGTTACAGTGTGTTGTCGAGAATATGTAAAGTTTTCAACTGTTGATGGTGAATAGGTAAAAGCAGTGGTGTGCACAGACTTTCTGAAGGGCAGGGGCAGTAAAAAAAAAAAAAAAGGCACATATAGCATGTCCTCATGATGGGTTAAACACCTCTACTTTACACATACACACCTTATTATTGTACAAAAATTGAAAAAGTTTAGCAAGTGGAAGAACCTTGTGTAAGGACAAAGTCTAATATTCAACTCCATAACTGTGGCTATTATGGAAGAATGTCATAAGAAGACCCAGTTGCAGGTCGATAAGAGCCTTATAAGACACACGGCTAGCATGCAAGAATTTGTTCTGGTTAAAAGTTAGTGAAATGTGTTGGCAACAATATCCTGCCAGCATGTAAATATTCAGACCCAATAAGAAGTTGGTCAAGCAAGATGGAGCAATAAAAAAGAAGAAGACATACTTGTATTACTACTGGTAAGAAGTTGCAAAACGCTTGAGACTAGGCAGAGGTACTGCTTGGTCTTGGAAAAAACCTTCTGAACATACGTGGACCGTATGTCAACGAATACACTAGAAATCTTTCAATTGAAGGAGTCATGTGATTTAACTGTCCAGTCAGAGTTAAAGGGGAACACCGTTTTTTTTACATTGGGCCCTTGATTTTACGTTATTACATCATGGTCTAATCACCCATATGAGTTTTGTGTCATTTGGAGCTGTTCTGAAGATATTCCGTTAGGTTATATCCAAGTAACATCTTCCTATGGGTAAAGACTTGAAGGCACAAACTAAACTGTTCATAATTTATTATTTATGGTACGCCAGCATTCATAACATGTAGGCAAATCACTGTCCCCCAGACATCCGCAGTTACAGTATATTTTTTATATTTATATTTTTTTAAAACAAAGCGGAGTGTGTATGACATCATCCGCGCGCGCCGGCTACCATTCATTCATCCTGTCAGATGAACTGCTGCTAGTTTTACTCACATGCCTGTAAGATGTCTAGTGCTACTACCACAGATGGTCTCGCTCTCGAAATGGAATTGAACGATTTAGATTAGCTACCCGAAAGAATAGAAGGGGTAGAGTGTACCCGCCTGTGGCCCGGGCTGCCTGTCACAACTCCACTACGGCGCACGGATGACGTCATACACACTCCGCTTTGTTTTAAAAAATATATAAATATAAAAAATATAAGTAGAAAATGATGTTATAACGTAAAATATAGTAAAAAACCAGTGTTCCCCTTTAAGACCAAAGTCTAATAAAGACTTCAACACATAAGTCTGAATCAGTCTGAGGCATTTTTTTAAATAATTTGAACAATGATTTCAATCTTTGGGTGTATGAAGTGTTAGAAATTCTCCTCCTGAAAATGATCACTGTTGAAACAGATGCAAACTGCTCTCCTCATAGCAGACTATAGCAGTAAATGAAAGGGCTTCCTTAAATTGATACCTTTGGAGTCACAAGTGTGTCATCAACCATACAGAAATGCCAAAAAACATACAATCATGCCGGATGAGAAGTGTCAGTGCTTTCCGTTTCATGAAAAGCTACTAACAGTATTTGTCATTCCAATAACAACAAAACACAACTAAAATGTCTCCATGACCTCAATGTGACCTAAAGTCTAAAGCCGGTAGCCATTAAGAGCCGTCCTGAGAAATAACTCACCGCCAGCAACAGAGGGCGGCTTTCTTTGACAGCTCCCACACAGCCCAGACATCCGATCACCATGATGATTGTCCCCACTGCGATGAGCAGGTTGGCTGCCGACAGGGAGGGAAGGGATGAAGACAGTGTGGCAAAGTTTCCCTGGGTCACCGAGAGCCAGATTCCTACCCCCAGGATGCCACATCCTCCCAACTGCAGAGGAAACGCAGAGAATACAAAGCTGTTAGCAAGTTTTTTTTCAAAAGGAAGAGAAAGCATTAATTTTGTATGGTGAGTTTCTTTTTTTGAAGCCTTATTGCACTGGAGGCTATCACAGAGAAGTCCGAATGTTCAATCAAAATACAGATTCTGTGAATGAAAATTATGCATTTGAAAAAGGTGATCATTTTTGTTTGATGAATGCTGAATGAAGCTTAATTAAGAATGCTATGCATAGGCAGCAAATTAAAGGGTTTAGACAGAGGCAATTTTAACTGGAATCAAAGAGTCCGCTTTTCATACTGAAAAATAACACTAATAGGTTTGCTAGAAAGCCAGAACTGAATACATCCAACCTTGTTGGATTTTTCTAAGTGCTTCTCATGGGATCGCTAATAACCTGTTCAGAAATGACTGATAATGAGCATGAGAGAACGCAGTGTTTTCAAAATTGATGTAACACCTGAATATCTTGTTTTCCTTATGATTAAAACAGTACAGACCTGAAGTCGCTTCAGAATAACTGCAACATCTCAGTTCTGCAGTGTTATTGTTAATGTTCACACCGCTGTAGGATCGAAAAGTTTCCCAAAAAAAAAGTAAAGAAAATCATGACAAAAAAGTGGCTAGTAAGATATGCTCAAAGGTTACAGTAAATGTATTTGTGAATTTATTTTTCTTTGAGTATTGAGTATCTTTGAAGTTTGTTTATGTTAATAAAAGCTCACCATCCACCTTCAATACTATGTAGGCCAAATCTTTAAAGAATGTCTCCGTGATTCACAATCAGACAGACAATACAGAAAAATAAAAAACAGTGAAAGTGGAATGGATCCTAAACTAGACAAACACAGCTGATAACATTTCTGCATAGATTGGGGCGTCTCACATGAAAAGTTCTTACACCATTGTTTATGAACAGGTTAGTCAAATGGCTTTGTTGTGTTTTCATAATGACTGTTTACTCTGTAAATGTTTTCTAATCCCAAAATCTTGGTTGAAAATGCCCAAGAAAATGCTGCTTAGTGTTTGTGTAGCTATGTTAAATTGAGAGTAAAGTTACACATTGCTCTATTTAGTGAGTTACTTTAACTCAGTACAGTATGTATGTTTTTCAGTTTGTACTTCATATGTTCTTTCTATTTTAACTTGGTTTACAGCATTGTGCAAAAGAACAAAATACAACCTGATTTACAACAAATATTTACCTCCCTTTGGGTAGAGCTGTGTACATCTGTAAATAATCTTGCAATACATTAGAATACACAACATACATAGGGCCTGATCTATCAAAGGTTTGCATGTATAAAAACGTGAGCTATTTCACTGCGGACGCTAAAAAATGTACAAACTGAACTATCAACAGCGTGCTAAAATGATTTGGTCTTTAAAACGTGCTAAATAGCGCCTCTTATCCATTTATTACTTTTTCTGCAATGAATATGCAATATGGGGCGTTTACACACAAAAGTGCGTCTTGTGGGAGGAGAACATGTAAATATATTAATTTAGCACTCGCAAAGTGATTTATTAAACCTGAAAGCAATTTTGCTAACGGTATCTGACTATATTTAACACGTTTCAAAAGAAGGTGCAAATGGTCTGTATGCGTAATTGCGCACACATGGCAGCGGTTATTGTCGCAAGAAGGAGACATCGAAATGAAGCAAGGAGACGCAGAGAACGCATTTTTTCACTCCGTGTGAATATTTTTGGAATGAACGAGGAAACGATCATCAAAACATATCGTTTATCCAGCATTGCCATTTTGGAGCTGTTGGGGGAACTCCGAATGGATTTGTAGCCAGCCACAAGGAGGACCCACGCAATACCAGATATCACAAAACTCCTTGCAACATTGTACTTTTTTGCATCTGGGATCTCCCAATCTCGTTTTTCAGAAGTGCTGTCCGACGTTCTAAATGCCATGTCGCCCGGACGCCCTAACGGAGAACCCCGACCTCTGCGCCTGTGGAGCAACATGCCAATGCTGCGGGGATGCGTTTTTTTTTTTTTACTGCAGTGAAGTAGAAATTCAGCCACATACCACCTTAGGGAATAAAGGTTGCCAAAGTGTGTATATATATATATATATATATATATATATATATATATATATATAAATATATATATATATATATTTTTTTTTTTGGAGGGGGTGGGGGTGTCACTGTAAGATTAAAATTTCTTAATGCACTAGTTAGCACAAACAACAAACTACTTTGCCGCAAACCACAAAGCGCGCAAAACCATCATTTAAATAGGGCGTCTCCAACAGTTTTGCACCTGCCACCAGTTACGCAATCGCTCTTGTTAAATCACCCGCAAACCATGGTTCAGCCCGTCGCGCAAAATTCCAGTTTGCGAGCGCATATTACTGCACGCAAAATTAGATCTTGATAAATCCGGCCCATAGTAGTCTAAGTCATCTATGCACATCTGCTTCTTCTCTGTCTGGCCACATAGTTTCATCTGCAAAACAGCCAGTATCATCTCTAGCAATGCAGCAAGTGGCGGATCCACCCTCTGCAAGACTCTGCTGTGATGTCATCACACATTGAATCCATTGCTGCCAGCAGGTCTATTTAGGTATGTGGATGCAAGTTATATGCCTTTCACTTCCAAGAAAATAAGGACTATATTAGTGGAGTAGGGACAGTGTTATTTAACCACAGATCCACATTGGAGTGGTGGAAAAAAAGATATTATCCCAAACAAAAGCATACTTGTTTACATGATCTCTGATTAGACAAGTTAAACATTTTCAGAGCAATAATTCAAGCATGAAACAGGGACCATTAGTTTTATATGGAATGCCTATTCAACGTTCAGAGTTGTATAAAAGCAACCGATGCATATCCAAAACCATTTCCATTTTGTTCGGAAATACTAAGAAACTGCTACTCTGATGTGCACAGCTGATTCATGGTTGTTGGAGTTTGAACTAACAGTTGTCCAAATGTTAAGAATGATGTGGAAACTAAGAAAAATTTAAACCGTCCTTTCCCAGCAACCCAGTTTAGCTTTTGGCTTTTAACTAAGGCTACATTCACACTGCAGGTCTTGATGCTCAGTTCCAGTATTTTAATTAAGTTTTATTTTTTCTGTATAGTCATTTAGACTGCTGGTTAAATGGAGCCACCATCAGACTCCGGACTGAATGCTTCAAAGCCCCAACGTGACCTGCCTGCGCAGAAGGACAGTTTAGACAACACACAGCAGCACTCTCTTTATGGAAGACATGACAGGTGTACGCATCTCTGTATAATTGTAAGCTGTAGGAGTCTTTATGAATGAGCAGTCAAAGCTTGGATGATATTGTGAAAGTCCGATGACATGAGCGTTCACATTAAAAGCTATCGGTTACGTATCAAATTTTGTACCACTAATAGAAGTGGAACAAATTTATTTTTTTGGTGGTGAAAATGTCATATTTGGGCTGTTCTGACTGCCATGAAGAAAAAAGCCATTAGTTCCATAGGTTAAAAAAAAAAATTAAGCATCTGTCTGCAGTGCAGTATGTCACAGCAAATGGCATATCATCTCAAACCTCATCGCAATGCAGGGGACAACAACAATGACCCTAACAACTCCCCTTTCAGAGGCATAGGCCAGTATTTGGTATTGCAGGCCAACAATGACCTCAATTACTCCCCATTACCAAGGAGTAGACCTGTTTTTTTGGTTCAATTAAATAGACTTATGTTTGCATCCCTATATAATCCTGGAACTCAAAAGCTATTCCATACATCTTGAATTGACAAAGCCTCTTGGATTGAAAGCAAAACGTCTTCATACTTGGAAAACAAAGTCCAATGGTTTGTTTTTTAACTTTTTTAATTTTGCTGGAATGACCATGACATGGATGACTGAGAATCTTCACCAGCATATGTCACAGCAAAACCTTCTTTTTTTTTCTTTAGTCATTCAAAAGTATAGTCTTGAGAGTCGAGAACTCAAGTATGCTTAACAGTGCAAACTGTTTGTGAGGCATTTTCCCTCAGGATTTTCCCGCAGAATTCATGTTTTTTTTAACAGTAGCATGTTATCCATGTACTGGAGCAGCAAAAAAGCCCAGGGCCTTCCTCATGTTTAATAGTTAACTAGTTTTTATTCGCTTCAATAGGAAAAATATCTTTCAACAATTTCTGCTTTGCCTTATTAGCCCATAGAAATCTGGGATGGGACTTTGCATTATTTTTATGTTTTTTGCCTTGAAACTGTTCCAATGATGCTATTTTTGATTATTTAATTAATCTTATCTTTGTTAAATGATCAAAAAAATACCTTAGCTCAGTATGATAGGCCTTCAGACTTTCTGGATAATTCACCAATGTCCTCTGGGAGTAATTCAAGTGTTGGCCACTCCTGAAAATGTTCCCACTGTTTGATGTGTTTTCATTTGTTGGTATCTAAACTTGATTTAGTAAAGTCGCAATTAGAAATAATGTTTTAACCTTTTCCAGGCTGTTGTCTGTTACTTTTTTTATCTATTTATTTCGTTGTGTACTCACTTTTTCCCCCTGGTTTCACTAATTAAAATTTTAATTATTATCTTTTTTCCCTTTGAGTCACTCAGAGCTATACATGTGGATGTGGTTTCTTTTGTCTGTTTTTTTATTTTTCTGTAATGTTTTCACCTGCCCATACCCTTACTCAGTTTACTGATATGTAGATGATATAGACACATGCATTAAAGTTTTTTAGCAGTACATTGTATCTTGCTTTGTCCATCATCTGTGCAATTTTTTATTTAATGTATGAGAATTAAAAAATAATAATAAGTGGTTTAGGAGTGCATTTTACATTGAACCAAAAAAAAAGATTCATTACAGCAAATAAATGACTAATGTTTTAAAAAATGTATTTAAAAAAAATTTTATCATTGAAATTTTCATTAGGATTGACTTAATAATTTATTAACATAGACAATAATGTTTCTTTATGGTTTGCACGATATAATATTACGAACAAAAGGAAATGAGATATGCAGT